TACTAACCCCGATTTAACTATAATAAAATTCACCGACCAAAGAGGTCACCTTAAAGAGAAAATATATATATATATATAAAAAATGGTTAGATAATATAAAAATACATCTATAGTACTTAGTATCATATATGATTTTACTGCAGTTATTGGTAAAATAGTGGTAATATATAAAGGTTTAAATTTAGTTAGCATAAGGTTTTTGATGGTTCTAACCATTTTTATTTAAAATGCCAATATTAATTACTTAGTTAATTTTTGAGATATAGTGTTTAACACCTATAATGCATTTTATGTAGTAGACTTAGAAAATGTGATTAGCAGTTTGTAGATTTCCGACATTAAGGCATTTAATAAATTTTAATTTGAAGTTTGCTATTTTATTTGACGTCCCTTATCGCAAATACCTTATTTTTATGCAGATTATATCTATTTATTTTTTAAATTAATCACAATTTGTTATTATAGACTTAGCTGGGTAATATGTTATAATTTATACATTCACACGATACATTAACATCGTGAACTTATTGAAAAATATTGAAGAATCTAATGTAAAAATGTTCAACTACTCATAGTTTAGCAATCTTAAACTTATTGGAACTGGAGGGCCCGCAAATGTGTTTTTCACTAAGTTTTATAGAAAACAATACGCACTAAAAAGCCTAAAGAATACTTTAATATTAGATATAAAGAAGCTATGTCACTCATTCATGAGGTAATTAACTTAATTGAATTTTTTTATAGCAAGACTATCGACAATTTTAAGTGATATACTGTATTTTGAGGGCTAAATTACGTGTAGCTTCACTTGACTTAGCCATTAACCATTGTGTGTGTGTTTTTAATACCCACCTTTTACATGTTATATTAAACAAAAAATCAAGTTGGTCTGGCTTTACTAATAAGATTTTCTGTTGCGCTGACTTTTTCTAATTTTTTTCACTTGCAGCCTTTTGTTTAAGCGAAAAAATTTGGTTTTTCTTTTATTTAAAAAAACTTTTGATATTATTAACCAGTTACTGTACTTCTACAAAATAATTATAAAATTTTTAGGGTTAGCAATTTTAGGTTTTTTTTTATATAATATTGTAATGTGCTTTTTTTTTGTTAATAAATTACAATTGCCGATTATCGAATTGTTTAAGATTAAGGCTTAAGGGTTTTCACTCTTCTCCCTTTTGCCCCAGCCCAATAGAAATATTAAATTTTTAATTTGTAAAATACATTAACATTTAAATAAATATCGATTTTTAGTAGAATTTCTCCATAATCTGAAATATTTAGTTTCGGTTATATTTTAATTATTTAAATATTTCGGTTTAATCCCATTATGTAATGATTAGTTTTAGTTGAATATTTCAAACTTATAATAAAAGTTTTCGTAAAAACTTTGATATTGTCACTATAACTAGTATCGCCCAAATTTTCAGATTCGGATTTGGTGAAATATTCAGTTTTATCCGAAACGTTAGCAGTCATATTATTGACAACTGCACTAAAAATTCTTATATTTGTGCAGTTTACATCATCACTGATTTATCTTTTTTTTTTTTATAGCTTAATTTTTGATTATAAAAAAGCAAAAAGAAAAAAAAACACAAAGAAAAGGAAAAAGCTAAATTGATATCAGATTATAAATATAAGAAATAGTATAGTCGTCAATAACTACTTCACAATAATATCGTTATTGGTTAATTAATATTAACTATTATCAAATTTAATAACAATATAATAAGATAAATCTAATGTATAAATGCAACAATATATGTATTAGATAGGGGTTTCCGAAAGAACATAACTAACACTAATGATAGCTAATTTTGTCAGTATTATGTTCTTTTTGGAAAAATGTCTTTCAAGAAATTGTACTATAACTATTAGATAGTGTGATTATAACATATACACTACATATTTGTCTTAATAATATACTATATACAGTATATTAAAAAAAAACTTCCAGCTGTGGTTTCTAAATTCTACATTCGCAATTTGATTTTTAACCAGATATTATTAAACAAATAGCTTTTTAAAATTATTATTTGATAGTTAATGAAATACCATTATTTATGAGATTATTTAATAGACGACTACATAACAATAATACATGATCTTGCAACGACTTCAATATAAACTGTTGACGGGATGAAGGCAGATAATAAAGTTTTACTGTAATTAATGAAAGATATGAATCGAAACTTAATTTATATGAAATACAGTATTTTCAATAAAATCGATAAGTATATAAAAAGATATAAGTTATATATTAAAAGAAACAATTAATTTTTATCAGATTCTTCATGAGTCAACATCAACGATTTTAAAGCATATGGATTAAAAACATAATCTTCTAAAATTTTTTCCAGTGCTAAAATTCTATTTTCTAACCTAGTTACTTTTTCTTCAGTAGGAATTTGATCATCAAGTAATGAATCAGTTTTTGAGACAAATGGCATGTTAAATAAGTCCACATGATGATAAATTTTTTCTATTTTTGGCTTCATTATTAAATGCATTAAACCTCTTTTAAATAGAAAAAAAATTTTGATTAAAATTTAAGAAAAAAATATTTTATCACAACCTTTTTTTTTTTTTTTACAACTTACCAAGGATTATTTCTTGGTCGTCCAAAAAGCAAGATATAAACTCCAGTTATTAACCCTATCAAGATATCAAGATTGGGCAACAAATATAAGTAATACTGTATATTAAAAAGTGTTTATTTTGATCAACTCACCAAAACCACCACCAAGCACACCCAGAGCAATAAGAACAGTATGTGTACTAATAAAAATAAAATTAAGAAAAAAAAAAAAGAGCTTTTAATATAATAATAAAATTTTAAAATGATAAATGTGAAATAGTTTATATAGTTACAGCTTTTCAGATTGTATTTCATGAATGAAACTGCCTAGAGCAACATTAAAATGACCATGAAAATTGCCAACAGAGATATTTTCATTTGGATGCATTGGAAAATATCTTGATATCACATTTAAGTAAGATATATTATAATAATTAGGAATTGTCCCAAAAGTTGCGAAAGTATTATGAGGTAAAATAGTTTGAGTAGTTTGTTTTATAAATAAGTCTAAATATATTGTGAGTAAGTTAAAATCTAGAAAATTTTTATATTTTATAAAAATAAATTATAGACACTAAACCATAGTTGACATATTTTGAATATCAGAAAATGCATTCATTTGCATTTTTAATATTTGATTCTCATACAAATCTGCAGTACTTGCTGCTTTTGCTTTCCATAAAAGATCAAATTCTGTATATTTCTGATTATCGATTAAGAATCAATTAAGAATCAAATAAAAATCAATAAAGAATTGAATAAGAAAAACTTTAAACCCCAAAATATCTAATGCTTATATAGAAATAAAACAGCAATTAACATATCTGGATCCATAATTGCATGGAAATAGCACCCACAGATAAGAATACAGAAGTAATATTGGTAATATTGTCTATTTTGAAATAAAAATCAATGTTTTGCACCCATGGACCCATAAGGTTAATATCTGGATTACCAAAAAAATAGGTATAATTGTTCTCAAAAAGATAACAATATATGTTGTCTTTTACACGGGAACGTTGAATAAATTTGGAGCAATTATCAAATGTAGTTGATGTCCAATTATCAAACATGAAAACACATTTAATTATTTGAATATCACTTTCACTACAACATATTTTTATATCTTTAAAAAAAAAAAAGAATTAGCTAACCCATTAAATTATTAGTTATAAATTTTTTAGCTCAATTAATATTGTATATATACCTGAAATACTAAGTTTATTTAAGTACTCACGTGTTAATTGAATTAATGGTTTGTCAGTGGCAATTTGAAATATGAGATATGCTATATATGACATAATGAGAAGAAATACTATAAAAGTAATCACAAATCTAAGCTGCCAAAACCTTTTTGATTCTAGGTTAAAGTTTGAGGATTTAAACAAATCTCTTTTATATTGTATATTATAAAATCAATTATAACATTGGTTTGCAAAAATGTAATTATTTAAAACCGGATACTTCCATCACTATATAGGTTGGAAAATCAATTATTCTTTTATTACCGTCGTTTTTTTAAAAATATCAACCATTTTGAAAATGATAGTACAAAAAGAGTTGATTTGAAAAGAGATGAAATGCCATTTCAAAAATTTATTAAATATTAAGAAAGCATTTATCTTTACATTTACTTCAATAGTAATACTTTATTATATGAGTATCCGGCTTTACTGAATTTTGTTGAAGTAGTACAAACTCTTAAGTATTTATTTACCTTTGAACGAACAATGTTAAACATAGTGAAGTATAATTAAATAAGTGAAATTATTTATGAAAAAAAAGGTTTGCCAAAAAGCTTATAAATATAAATGAAAAAACTAAATAGATGATGCCAAGAAAAAAACTATGCACGGTATCGATATTTGGATATCATTTTTCCGCATTTGATCAGACTTATAATTTTAATTTTCTCTTGCGCTTCCTTATCTCTTTTTATATAAATAAATGAATTTATTAAGAAATTTCAAGAATGTACTAATTTCAATTATGATTATTTTGGTGAAATTTATGCAATTTTTTGTAACTTTACACAGAATGTTTGTCACAGCAAATCTGTGTAATGTGAAAATCAAAACAATTTGCATAAAACAAAAAATTAAACATTACCAAAATTTTACAAAGAATTTTTTTACTAATTAAAAGCTAGTTTTATAAGCGAAATTTTGAGAAAGTAATAATTTTACGTTACATCAGATTGTGCAATCTGATTAGCTTTCTATATACCCAACTATGTACTTCTTCTTTTGTTAATGGAATATTACTAAAAAAAAAACTATTATCACAAAAATGTATTGCACAAAAGTTTACAAATAAAATATTTTTTGAAATTAAGAGTTTAGTGTTAAGCTAGTTGGAAAATCAATAAATCTCATTCCTTAGCAACCGGTTATTACTTTTTTTTGTATTAGTATTAGTATGCAGTAAATGACACAACAGATAAACTAATGTAAATATTTTTTTATAGAAAAAAAAAGTTCATGCAATAATAAGTGATACTGTAGTAAAAGCACGAGCAAGTTCTGTACCATAGTTTTTTAACAATAACTTACGATGGAGATCATAATAATTCCAATGCAAATTAACTAACTTTAACTACATACTGTCATCAGAATCATTTGTGCGCATTTTTGGAATTGGGTCCAAATTAAAAACCTGATTTACTATTTGATTAATTCAAATTTTTATGCTGAATTATACGTCAACAAAATGACGCATATATTAAATTGCA